ACCCTTTTATTAACTCTTTAAAATTTACAATACGTCAACGCTAACAAACTTCACCTCTACTTGGGCAGTAACTGAAAGTCAGATAATTGAAACTAAAAGTTGAAATATTAACAAGTGATGAAACTAGCCTACAGGGCTCAGCAGGATCCTGTAACTTCAACCCTATTCTAAAGCTAGTGGCAGCAAAGCAATGCAATTAAGCCACTTGAACCAGCAATAAGCAAATGTACCTACGGCAGAGACGGCACCTGGAGCCTAACTCTCTCATACCGAAACTCGGCTTTTAACTACTTCCTTCAAAATAGAAAATTTGCATTTGTTCACACACGCTACAACATTTAACTATTTTGGCACTGACAATTAGGAAAATGAAGGCTTATAGGAACGTTACAAATAAAACTTTAAATTATTAGTTAAAATAAATATAAATCCCTACACACTTTCAAAATGCAGTCTTAGAATATGAGCAAAGGAGGTTTTTTTTTTAAAAAATATTAGTTAAATTAAATATAATTCCCTACACACTTTCAATATGCAGTCTTAGAATATCATCAGAGGAGGTTTTTTTTTTTTTTTTTTTTTTTTTTCTCTCCATGACAAGTTGAGTGGTTGATAGTAGAGTTATGTCTTCTACAATAAAGTGTCTGGATTTAACTATACAAGTCATTAAAAATCTGACTAACAACAGATAATTAGCAATAGCATTGACATAATGTAAGTCTGTAGCTGGGGGACAGTTTGATGGCATAGACTCTCAGAGGAGTTAAATTCTTTATTTATATGTTTTAGTTATTGTTACTCGTATAATTAAAAATTATCATCCATGTTTGTTAAATAGCTGTTTACTTTAGTTTGTAGGGAAACTGTTATTGATATGTTAGATCAAAATCTGTGATGTAGCTGAAAATTTTGCTGCCCAGGATGATTCATGTGCTACCTTTCATAATGCACCCCCCCCAAAAAAAAAAAAACTGTAAGATGTCAGGATGGCATATAGGAAAATAAGTAAAAGTTCTGCATTTATTTTTGAAAAAAAAAAATAATTCCAACATTTTAAAATACTATTTTCCTTGTTTTCTGCTAGAGAAATTATCGATAGTTATCTAGAAGTTTGTTTCTTTGCTCCACTTGCCTTTCTGTAATAAGAATTCTATAGTGTAAGGCATTATTTTCAGATCTGTGCTGTAAACCAGTTCATATTTAGAAAACTCTTCTCACCAATAATATTTGCAGCAGATGACGGAAAATTTGTAATAATATTACACTATTTTGAACTTTGTCCTATTTTATTATTAACTGAAAAAAGTTCAAAGTCGCCACCCTTCCTGTTTCATGTTCCCAAGCAATTGAAGAAATAAGAATCAGAAATCTGTCACAAGGAAGAACTCTTTCTTATTTCTGTCATTGTGATCATAATTTAATTTACAATCTTATTTTTAATTCAAATGTTCTGTGGAACAATGGAGACATAGCAAGAACATCAAGTGTTAAAATCTCTTTGTAATCTGTTTGAATGCTGTGTCCATTGTAAAAACAGTTCTGCCCTTAATTCAGTTTCATGTGACAGTTCTGCATTTTGGGCTTCTCCATCTTACTAGTGATTAAACGGATAATTTGACTGAATTTGAATATCTTACATCAAATTCATGCATACATTATGTGAATGCAAGTTAATGCTCCTACTATAACATGACAATGATGCAGTTGCCAGTTTTTAAACCTTTAACTGGAAACGTAACTCTTCAATAAAGATATCCCACATCTTAGACAGCTAACCATAGTGAACCTTGCTGTAACCCAGTAAATCTAGATCCTTCTTTCTTCATTGAAGACTCATTACACCAATTCCTATAATACAGGGTGTGGCAGCGTTCATAGTAGGATGTAAACACACCATAAGGCAGTAACTGTATTTTATTTATTACCTCTTATGTCAATTAATAGCTAAAGGTATGCCATTTACTAATGTGTAAGTCATTGTCCATTGCATGGATTACTTTCTGAATACGATGCCTGTCAAATGATGCCCCCCCCCTGCACAGCACATTCATCTAGGTGGTGTTGGAAGCTTGCCATAACTCGGCGTAACGTATTCCCTGGAACATTGCCGACGGCAGTTCTGATGCGATCCTTCAACTCAGGAATGGTGGCACAATGTGTTCAGAAAACTTCTTGCTTCAGGTTGCCCCAAAGGAAAAAGTCTGCACATGAAAGATTAGGTGAGCGAGGCAGCCAGGAAATGTCACCAAAATGGGAAATTCCTCTACCTGGAAATGTCTGTCGCAATGGTCCGTCCATCTGGAACTTTTCCATGATGTCCCAAGTTGAAATGTTGCCGAAATAGATGCTGGGTAGCAATAACAGAGTAGTTATTCTTGAAATAACTTTCAACAGCAAAGGCACGATGCTGTGCACTCCACCGATTCACATCACTGTCACAATCGAAATGGCAGCTCATTAGTACACGAATGTGGCATGAGCTGGCGCGCATTCACGCAGTACATCATTGTACTGTGCAAGTCAAATTACACTATGAACGCTGCTGCACCCTGTATGTTTCAGATGAAAAATTTGGTACTGTTCCTTTATCTGCCTCTATTTTCCTTCTTAAATCTGCAAATCGTATCTCATATTTTGGCAGCCACTTTTATTCTCGAAATTCTCTTTCTGAGTCTCTCATTGTTTGGCCTCATCATGATGAAGCTCTTTAAATTACCATCCACTGAAAAAGATTTGACAGAATGTTTCCAGCAATGCAGAGTTCTCCCATGTAATGGAAAATATTTAAATCTTCATGAGGCCCACCAGCGGCCGAGCAGTAAAGTCGCTGAAACACTGGTAGTTCGGTCCGAGGTTCGAATCCCGCGTACGGGCTGGCTGCATGGGCGTTTTTGTGGTTTTTCCCATGTGTAACGTGTATACGAGCCAGTTTCCCTTAGAAAGTCCTCCATGAAGGTATCCCTCCCCCTTAGGCAGATAGCCCTAGTGTGCTTTGTCATAATTAAATAAACCAAACCAAATCTTCATGATGTAAATCTACATATCACCGAAAAAAGGATTAGGCAGCAATGTAATGTTGGCCGAGAAGATTTCAGTTTTAGAAAGGTGACTGGTTTTGAACATCTCATATCTCCTTTGCATATGCACTCAGATTTATTTATTTATGGCCTAAGGAATTGACTTCAGATCAATTTTGCCAAGACGAACTTGACATGTCACATAATACTGTAGTTGATCGGAAAAACTGTTTATGCAAAATATATACAGAAGATGTTTTGGGACAGGAGAAGAAAAAATAGGAGGCCCTGGTCTAATTGTCAAAATAGATGAATATTTATTTACGAAAAGAAAGCATAACACTGGTCGTGTTTTCCCCCAGCAATGCGTTTTTGGAGGGATTTGCAGAGAGACTAGAGAAACATTTCTGTTAACGGTACCCGACAGAGGAGTACATTGTCTTTTGCAATACATCAAGAAAAAATATAAACGATAGAACCATGATTTATTCAAAGTGTTTGAAAATATACAAAACTGAGAAACATGAAGAAGCTGGCTATTCCCATCTGAAAATTAACCACAAATATAATTTTGCAGATCCGGAACAGTCACTCGTACGCTGAGTGTCAAGTATTTAGAGGGAATGGCTAAACAGAGAAATAAAATACAGTGTATAAATAAAATACAATTTGCAAGGCAACATCTTATGTCTTATTTGTCAGAATTTATTTGGAGAAAGAAGCAAGCAGGAGGAATTACTCTTATTCCATTATAGTGGCAACAGGCAAATAGTTTTTACCTGAAATAAACACTAATTGACATTAGCAATGACCTTTCTTTCTTTTTCTATAATTAAGTTTATTTTTCTTATTGTTATATTATTAATTATTATGTGTTGTTATGTCAGATTATTTATTATTACAGTCAAAAGTCGTTAATCCGGACTCGTCAGGGCTTCGGCGATTCCGGATTATCGATTTTTCCGGATTATAGATCATCAGTTTAAATCTCGTAAGATGGCATGCAGAAATTCTAAAATTAAAAATATGAAATCTTAATTTATGAAATAAAGAACAATTATAATCTAAAGGGTATCAAAATGTACAAAAAAAAAAAAAAAAAAAAAAAAAAAAAAAAAGCTTAATATTTATTTGTTTACTTTATTAAACATTTCTTTCAATATAAGTTGTTTTAAGCTGCTTCATTTTATGTGATAATACTTTCTCTTTAATTCTATAAACAGACACATTTCTTGTTCAGTTACAAAGTTCCGCTGTTCAGTCCCGTTAATGTTGTGCCGAGAATACCGACTAACTTGTCAATCGAAATTTTTTGTTTTCACTAACCTCTCTGTCACATCTTATGTCTTATCCTTTTTTTGCAGCAATTCCACTTTTTGTTTGATGGACATCGAAACATACTTTCGTTTTGTACGATCCTTTGGGAGCTCCAGAATCAGAAATTCTATTTAACATAATCGAAAGTTCAAGTTTACTTTTATAAAATTGCTCTTACAGTCTGCAAAAAATAATAAGCCGGATCCAATTCGAAGATTAAGGGACAACGCAATCATCAACATTAACTGAAATAGATAATTTTAGATTAGACCGGCCATTATACATAAAACGCGCACGCGAAAATGTATTCTGCGCTTGCGCACACGCATATGCGCAGTGGTAAAAGGTCTTACGCGCACGCGTAAATGCCTATGCGCATGTGTTAACGCTGCGCATGCGCAGAAAGTTTTTAGCTTTGAGGTCTGGATTATAGATCATTCCGAATTATGGGTGTCCGAATTAATGACTTTTGACTGTATATTGCAGGCAGATAAAGGAAAAGTACCAAAAATTCTAAAAATATGCCATTCAGGGTGGACTGCCCTCCTTGCTGCCTTTAGCTGTGTCCACTGATCAAAATAATTATTAATTTATTTTGTTGGTTACTTTTAAATATTTGTTGTATTTAATGTTGAATTCATATGTAATTTATTCATCCTCCCGCAGAAATCCATGTATGGAGGATGCTGTGCATCCTTCAGAGGAATTTAAGTTAAGATTTCAACGTAGATGCGATTTCAAGTGGATGAAGGTCGATTTGCAGGTAAATGCTTTATAGTATTTTCTTATTATATAGTTAATTTGCTTTATGTCCTCTTTTAAATGCTCTGTTTAGAGTGATTAATTTATGAATCGGACATTTTAGATAAGTATATAGAAGCAAGACTGTGTTTTTCCTTTTAAAGAACTAATTATTTTGTTAATTAATAATAGCTACCATAATTAGTTTGTTGATATTTTTTAGATCGTTTATCGAGTAAACAGTATAATATCTTCATTTGTTTTAATTAAAATAAAACCAGGTACTAAGTAATAATCGGAGTATTTTTGGTTAAAACTGAAATAGAACTTAAATAGGTAATAATCAATTGCATTGTCTTAATGAAATAATTAAATCAGTAAGTAGCATAATTTAGTGTGATTGAGTAAGTAGGGATATTAATAATATTAAGGAATGATCATTCTGTTATCTTTTAGTATTAAATAAATATATGTTGTGCAATATATTTTATATTTTTAATGTGCCCTTCCAAAAGACAAGAACTAGAGTGTTTTGAAATTAATGAAGCACTAAATATATGTTTAAAATAGGTATGGAAACATCTTAGTTTCAGTTTCATATTTTGTGAATTTTATCAGAAGATATGAGCAGTATAAATTTTTGAGATTTACTTTGCTTATGAAAATTATTTTGCAAACAAGTATAAATGTGTGGTGTCACAGAGAATGAATTGATACTTTCTGCTGTGCACCCAAGCCTGGTTCTAGGAGGGGACAAGCCAGACTCCCTGCCTGGTGGCAGTTTCTATGGGCAGCAAATTCAAGTGTGGTGCTGGATCGTATTTGGAATTTTGTCTAATTTTGCTACAACATTAGTAGTTTTAAATCCAGGTCTGAAAAGTTCTTTTAAGAAAATTTATAATTAAATATTTAGAACCCTTTTAAGAGAACAAAGATTTTACCGTAGGAAGATTTGGGCCGTAGGACCACAAATGTCACTTATATTAATTCTGCTAATTTAGTAGCTTTATATTCTTTGGAACTAAATGGAAACCTGTGTTGCTTACCATACTGGCAACCTTCGCAAAAGAATTCATCTTTGTTTGAGACGTAGTTTTTCAATTTGTCCTTTATCACTCAGTTCACAAAGAGTTCTCAAGTTTATGCATCCTGTTCTTTTATATCATATTCTTAGATTATTTTTGTGAGAAATGTTTGCTTCAGGAGAAATTTTAGTTTGCCATTACTCCTTCTTGCAATTTACCATGAATAAGCTTCTGGGTTATTCATGGTTTTCCTTTAACATTTCATTTTCCTTTAATGGGTAATTCTAAATTGTTACGGAGATGAATGGTTTCAATTTCACTTGTCTCATTGAAGCTGTCAAAGTAGCTGATATTGTAGGTCATATGAGCATATGCTCCCACTGTTCATCACTTCTTTTTACACTTTTCTTTATTTCGTTGCTAAATGCACTGAAATTTTTTCTGGAACATCAGTTTCTTTTCCACACAGCTTTGAATGACATTCTGGAGCTTAATGTAATTTCTTACGGCAGCTATAATATGTTATTTTGGTTTTATCTTCATTTCTATTATTATTTTTAATTTACTGCAATCATAAGCGAAAAATACAGACTCACTTTTCTCAGATTGCGATAAAGACGTTTCTTCATCGATGAATTTTGCGGTCAGGTTTAACAAGTTTTGTGTGCTATCATCAACAGATAACCAGGCTTGTCTGTCTATATTTTAGAGGTAATGTTCCTAAAATGTTTGTAATTATATTTGTATCACTGATGCTTTTACCAGAGTCTTTGATTTGATGAGTAAAATTTTCAGTTTTCCAATGTATTGCACTACTACTTCATTGCATTCTATTTTCAACTGTAAAAATTTGTCAAGCAGCAGCATTTTGTTAAAGTCAGATTTCACTTTGATGGTAGAGTCCAATCTTTTAAGCATTTCATTTGATGAAGAACAGTTCTCTATAAGTGTGACTTGTGAAAATTCCATCACAGACGATATTGTAAACATTGCAATCATGGCATTCTTTTCACATTTTGCGATTGCCACATCATTATTTTCTGGCTTTGAATTAATTATGTTGGCAACAGAAATGCTCCTTTTGCCTCGAGAGTACAAGTAATTTGAAATTTATATTGTGAATAATTTTGTCCGTAAAATTTGTTTATAGATGACACATCTATACCTGCTGTGCTTACTTCTGTTTACTGAATTCTAAACCGAGAATATAGAGGATGAACTTATGTTCATAAATTGTTACTTTGTGATAAATTGGACCCATAACCTGTTTATATTGCTGGTTTAAATAAATTTATTTAAACAAAGTAAAGAAAAAGATAACAGAACGTACTGCTGAACCAACTAGCTCTCTTTCACAGCATTATCTTGCATTTTTAATATTTTTATTCCTTTATCTGTAATAACCCCTTCAGAGGGAAGATTTTTCTTTACATCTGGAAGACAGAAAACATTACATATTTGTCCTTCCCATTTATCATGAATAAGCTTTTGGATCAAGATGCAAGAGAAACACTCTGATGTGGAAAGTAAAACAGGCAAATCGACAACCTTGTGTTTGGCATAGATTTTGTAAAGTCTAAATTGATTTTAAGAGCAAAATGGGTCCCGTTTCATCACAAGCAAAAAATTCTACAAAAGCGAGAAAGCGAATGTCGATCATATTAATACCCTACAGGCAACCAGTGGAAGAGCCAATGGTGTCATCTGTCGGCAGAAATAGTAATGAAAAATGAAGGGTTAAGTTAATACAGTAGAAGTCCATTAGTCCGGCATCCAACAGTCCGGAATGCCCGATAGTCCGGCATCGCTCCGGAAAATTGTAAAAATTTTGGTTTTCTCCAAAAGTGTGTCTTTAAAGCAAATAAAACCGCTCGAGAGCTATTCGGAAGTTTTCGGGGTAGTTCGAGATCATCCGGAAGCGCTCGGTATTGTTCGGAAACAATTAGCGGCCGGCTAGTCCCAGCTGTCGCAACAAATTCAGGTGCAGTGCAGCTCCGTTAATCAATCACAAAGCGTCTTCGCCATTTTTTTGTGCGTTGTTGTTTTGTGTCCTTTCACATCGCAGTAAACGTAACTTTTGAAACTGTTTATAAAAAAAGTGATTTTCGTTCTAACTGTACAGTGACCATGTTTTCAAAACCTAAGCCTTCGAGTTCAAAAGGAGAGAAACGAAAACACGTAACACTGACTAACACTGATGAGGAAGAAAACCATCAAGACGCTCTGACCAAAGTTTTGGATGTCGTTAGAAGTACTGACAATCCCTTGAAAAACCTGCCTGAAGATGAGGTAGAGGAGTGGCTTTTAATTGACGAGAATGAGCCTGTTGAACAAGAACTAACCGATGAGGACATTATCAACATTGTAGTAAACCCTCAGCCTACTCAAAATCTTGAAAATGACTCAGATGCCGAAACGGAAGAAAAGGAAAAAATCAGCTGGGCAGAAGCTGCAGAATCACTAAATAAGTTTATATCTTTTGCCGAGGCTAGTACTGCTACAGTGCTTCAGAAATTATTGATTTCCATATCATTAGAAATAAATTTTATACTAAACGCCAAAAGTCAAGAAAACAAAAAGACATTCGTGACTTTTTTAAATCTAAGTGAAATATGTTTTACAGTACGTGTACATACATTATATGAAATATAAATAAACTTTGTTGTATGTATTTGCATACTGTATTTTTAGTTTAATTATTAACCTAATTGTTCTTATAATTACCGCCCGATAGACCGGAATTTTCGGTAGTCCGGCACCGAGCCGGTCCCGAACGTGCCGGATTATCGGACTTCTACTGTAGAATTTTAAAGGTCTTAGGCAAGACCGGATTGGAATTAAAGTCATTGACTAAACAGGATTAATTTTTTGTGAATGGGAAAAGTTCAAGATAATCCAATTCCCTAATAGAACCTAGCTTTTTGGATAATTTTAGCAGAACCAAAATCAAAATTGTGACTGAATTTCCAACTATGATTAGCTATTGAAGATTTGTTAATTTTGCCTTTTTGGACGTAAATTCACATTCCTTAATGCAAAACTTTAATGCTCTTTTTGTTTGACCAATATAACATAAGCCACACTGACATGATATGCTCTAAATTCTCCAAGGATTAAGGTCAGAAATAGAATCTTTAAGAACCAAACTTCGGATTTTATTTATAGGCCAGAAAACAACTTGAAAATTAAACTTGTGTAAAATTCATGCAATTTTGTAACTGATAGAAGGATGAAATGGAAGCACAACAAGGTTATTAATGTTATTTCTAACATTAGAATGTGTTCTTAGATGGCACGATGAGAACTTTGTAACAGATTTATTATACACTACGGGAGAAAATCCTCAGTCAAGGGCAATAGATCTTAAATAATTGAGTTCATTAGCAAGAAGAGATTCTGAAGAACAAATTTTGAGAGCTTGAAATACGTAATAGTAGAAAGAGGCCATTTTTGGCTTAACACAAATGAGTTATAGTGCAAAATTTAGACCAGTTGGACACACAACTAAAAATGACTGTTGCAAGACTTTCGAAAACAACATCAACGAATTTATAGTTAAAGCAAGCTATCAACTGAATTTACCCATAGATACCTTCTTAAAATGGAAAGCTAAAATTCTTCAACGCATATCCACTGAAATCAATCACCTCAAGTTTAAAAGTACATTGAATTGGTCTCAACTTACATCAGATATTAAAAATTTAAAAAACTTTTTACTATTACAAAAATAGATAAAGTAAATAATAACTTTAGCATTATATGAAAACAATTCTATGCAGAAATTATTCATAAAGAACTTTTCAATGCAACTACTTAGCAAACCTCTATAATAAACAGAATTAAACTTTTTCATAAAAAACTAAATATTACTTTAAATCCAAGCTACAACAGATTTACTAGCCTCTATGCACCAAATTCCATAAAACACCATTAAAATTCAGATTTATAGCAGATGGAAGTAATAATTACAAGAAAAATGTAGACTATTTTTCAATTC